TGCTGCTAATCACACCGCCGCCGCCAACCCGGTCACCGATGAGCGGTTGGGATGAATGCAGACCGCGCGCCGGCCCGCGGGGACAGCACCAAGGTCACAGATTGAAAATCAATGAAAAACTAAGGTTGATTTTAAAGGGACCCTCCCACCTTAACATTAGTTTTGAGTTGAGATAGCCAAATTGGTGGCCATGGCCTGAAAATACCGGTTTGGGCATTCACAACATCGAAAAATGCTTTAATTCGGAGATATGGAATTTCAAACTTGCAGTTTTCGGATTCTAAGGGGCTAATGCATTGGTATGCCCCCTTAGAATTTGTGACGTCAGCGGAGATCTAACGATTTTTAAATCTTTTACTTAAACGTTTGGCAGCACGCGGTGGTATATGCTGCTTTGCGCGCAACAAATGCCGCACTTTCAAATAAAGTCGCTAGGAACAGCGGAGATCCCAAAAAGTAAACAAAAGTAAAAGTCTAATATCTTGAAAACCGGTGAATATTTTTCGATGAAATTTGGTAGATATTCATTTTTGCTCTTTCTGAACCGAGCGACATCACTTTCATGCCAATTCATTAACTTTTTTGAAGGTGGGAGGGTCCCTTTAAAGAAAGTGTTATTGTTGACTAAATCTATTTGAGTTAATCAAGAATCTTTGGAAGTGGTGTGCCACCCGCCGCCCATCCCCGTCGCCAAGAGTTTCTCCATGAATGAGCAACCGAAGTGTCAGGTTGGAATCGAGTGGTTGGTTGTTAGTGACATTGCCGAGAATATGCAAAACGTCTCGAAAGAGTTGATTTCTTTGGTGTTCATATTTTTGGCAAAATAATGTGAAATGACGAACGTTTTCCGTCGGGTAACCACATGAACAAGCAGTGGTCGAACACTTGTTTATCTGGAACTGATGTGAATTTAATAATGACATTTCTGTTCTTAATCTGGTGTGGAGGGCATTTCCTTCCTTGGATCCAATTTTGTAATAATTTGGAGGCTTGGATACTCCCAGCCGCTCGGTAATCGCTCGCTTAAAGGATGTATGGGGTAATGACCTAATTGATTCTGGGAGCCCGTTCCATAGTTTGCCGGTTGAAAGGAAGTATGAGGATTGATAGGATGTGGTACGGTTTGCTGTGATCGTGTGGTTACTCGCGTTTCTTAGCGTTCTGCCAGTTTGTTGGATGCGAGTGGCCGGTATGATTAACTTGATATATGCGTTGCCAATGCATGGAATCGTAATTCGTATTGTCAATATCACCTATTCAATTACGACGAAGACAGTAGGTGACATGGATTGCACGCTCAAATCCAACGTCAAATCGATCCTAAATCCAATGAGCAGAATGATTGCATTAAATTCAGGTGCAGAAGTGTTTAGAGTTATCCATTTAAAGTTGGCTTATGTTTGATTCATATAGCAAATTCATTATTCAACATACGAAATACCATGCAACGATATAACACCGAAATGACATAGAGGATAAAGGGTAAATAAAAACCTGGACCAAGTACTTTCAAAGTTCAGGCTGTTTTGCATCAAAAAGCCTTCCCAACCACGGCACGGCTAGAGAAGATCCAGATAAGCTCTCTCTCTCTCTCTCTCTCTCTCTCTCTCTCTCTCTCTCTCTCTCTCTCTCTCTCTCTCTCTCTCTCTCTCTCTCTCTCTCTCTCTCTCTCTCTCTCCCTCTCTCTCTCTCTCTCTCACTCTCTCTCTCTCTCTCTCTCTCTCTCTCTCTCTCTCTCTCTCTCTCTCTCTCTCCCTCTCGTCTTTTCGCTCTTCTCCGGAATGTGGTGCCATAATGTAGGTAAACACCTTGGAATTCAACCCATCCCCGCGAACTATAATCACTGGGCATTACCCCGTAAATGGCCCGCACACTGCCCATACAGGCTGGGCTGTACGGGCTGTGTGCCCAAAGAGACAAAGAGACAGAGTGCCATTAACCGGCAATACCAGCCAAATCAGAGCTTGTGCGGAAAGTTTATCATCGGCGTGCGGATATTTTCCTATATCAATATTGATATGGGTTATTGAGTTTAAGGCTTAAGTAGACGGTTTCAATTTCATGAATAAATGTATAAAACAATGGGATTTGTTTGTTTTGTTGGGTTAGGCCCTTTCGGTCGACAAGACCATTGCAGGGCCGGAAGGATGATAGGAATTAGGGGGAGACATTGGTCTGGGCAGGCACCCTAGTGAGTCGCCGGGGCTGAGCCCGTCCAAGGACAGGCCACCCAGCCCCAAGGCACTCACTGCACCCGGCTACGGGGTGCGCTCCTCGGGAGCAGCGGTGCCGCTCCAAGGGAGCAGCCCGCATGAGATAAAGTTGCCTGTCCAGCCCGGAGGGGGTTGCGGCGTGGAGGAGAAGGATTTCAGTATCCTGAGGATAGAAGCACGGATAGGAGGAAACAATGGGATAAAGGTTATGAATTATATAATAAAGCTCATGATTTCTGCTTGCTTTGTTCCTTCATACTCTTTCGGTCAATTTAGACCAGTTCGGGGTCGTGTGAAAAGACATTGTGGAAGAACCACTGGGCCGAGTCGACCACCGCCTAAATTGGTTAATCATTGGACCTGATGAAAGCTAAGAATCTCTCAGAGGTTTCCAGCTCTTGCATTACACCGATCTTTGCTACATACGACTAATTCACGGTACCGACACCAGATGTCACTACGTCCACCTCTGACCACCACTGTGCGGCGCTGGTGGCGCTGCCCTCCGAGCGAACGGGCTGAGCCGAGCGGGAAGACCCGACCCTCCCGACCCAGACGAGACCCGCCGTCCACTGACCCACTGGCCTGGAGGGCAGAGGGTCGGGGGAGGGGCAGAGGGGCGGGGGTGCCATCCCGGCAGGCGGCGACGTACCAAATTTGGTGATCGTGCCGGGGAAGCGCCAGAGGCGGCGGCGGGGTGGAGAGAGGGGCGGGGCGGTAGAAATAGGAGAGCTCCATGTTAGGGCCCCGGTCGGAGTGTGTGTTGGACTGGGATGGCGCGCCCCACCCACCCACTCCGCCAAAGGAAGGGCCGCCGTCTGGGACAGAGCGGCCGACCCGACCTCCGAGCCGCCGCCGCCGCCCCCTCCCCGCGGCTGGCGGTCCCCTCCCGTCCGCCCCCTCCCACCGCTCGACAACGCGCTGTCGTTCGGGGCAGAACGCTTCATAATCAGACTAGCAAGCTCTTCCTTGCTTCCGGAATCGACTACACATGCATAAGTACCTACTAAAGCAAATCAAGTAGAGGCAGGATTTGGGGGTTTTGGAACATGCTTCATTGCTTCAGCTTCAAACAATATTAGTTCAGGAGAAGCAGCTCATTGGCGGGGGTCCAGTTTGGACAAAAAAAATACATCTTCTATTGCAATAGTTCAGTGACCGTGCAATGCAAACCTTACATTTCTTTTTAAGAAAATTACAATAATTCAGAGCCCGAACAAGACGACGGGATTCGGAAAACAATTTCACTGCCAGCCATTTCCCGTTTGAATGATAACACAAACGATGTTTTTTATTATTGAATATGTCTTGCAAAGTGTGGGCAAGAGGGTGTAACAGCCTGACCAACACTAGCTGCACCAAAATGTTCAGAAGCTGTTAGTGTTGGGTTGACCGATGAATTTCGTTTGGCCTTTATCCGCAACCATACGTTATACAAGACCATTACAAATTATTATGTCGAACGTTTTAATTGTCGCCTACGGAGGTCGCACGACGATGCATGCAGCTTGGGGCAAGGAGGAAAGTCGATTAAGATAGGGACTTTTGAATAAGTAATACCATCTCTCATTATACGCTGTCACAATAACACCTGAAAATTGTCGTCTCGTGAGTGCAATAAGATGTAATTACCCTGTGTGTAATGAGATCACGATCTTGTTTTCACGACAGTGCAACTTTGTTCCCTCTGCCATTTCGCTCGGTCCAAGGTTCGGTCCCAAATAGCCGTCACGTGAAGTCTGGCGCTCACTATACCTCCCGATATGAGATTGCACGTCCGTCATGCCTCTGAATCACATCGCGGCTCGGTTTCAGCCAGATTGTGGCCGCGCGCTGGTGTGACCAAATAAGGCCATAGTTTCGAGCGGTCGTGTGTCGTCTGTCTGTCTGTGTGTGTGTGCGTATCGAGCGTTATGTCAAGTTCAGATAAGATAACAAGGGCGAGCGCTACTGTTGGCTCTCTGGGGCTGCTGATAAGCCGGATGGTTTTATGACACATCAATATCGCCGTTGTAATACACTATTGCTGAACGACCCGTGAATACTCACTTCCTGCAGTCTAAGTGGAAGCAGTATAGAGGAAGTCCAAGAGGTCGAGTGATTTATCGACTTGTTTAGTCGACTTGTTTAGCTTGAACAGTTTTAGACAAGGCCATAGGTTTTAGATCGGACCACATTTAGAGTGATTCGGCTGTCCAGAACAACGAGTTAAAACCAGTTTCCGAAAAAAAAATCCTGAAACAAATCGGCAATCGCATTGATTGTTTCCTAATTTCTCAAGCCTGTTTCTTTGCTACGTCCGTAATTTTATAGGCCTAAAAACTGCACGCCGTTTATCGCACTTCTTAGCCAATTTCGTACTCGCTAAGCAACACCGAACAAAACATGTACCTATGTAATGATTCAGCTTTTGTTGACATTTTTAAATCCAGAAACAAGTAGCACAAGACTTTGCAAGAATTCTGCCGTGGGAAGGGTTGTTGCCTCACCAGTCTTTTTACCAGTCTTTAGTCTTTTTTCGGTCGCAAGGAGGGCAACCTCTTGAAATGTCACATGCCCCGTACCAATTCTAAGTGGTATGTAGGGGCAATTCTCATAGAAAATCGAACAAATCGCCTAAGTCAGCACATGGATTGTTGGACCGATTTGCCGGTTGCTCCCTTTCAACGCTAGCTAGTGCCACTAATGCTGTTATCAAAAGTCATCCCTCAGACAAATGCAACTGAACTCGTATAGCCCGTCCCCAGCAAACGTCTTTCTTTTCCTCATCCCCAAATAAGGCAATAGTGTATGAAGCACGCGCGTGCATGTATTTGGTCGATATACGAATTTGTTAAGCTTTATAACATGATTACAACAAACAAAGACACTGTATTGGAATGCATCTAGATGTGACTGGAATGCGTCTAGAAGCACTTGCGGTGGACAATGGAGGGGCCAGACTCGTCGTACTCTTGCTTGGAGATCCACATCTGCTGGAAGGTGGACAGCGAGGCCAGGATCGAGCCGCCGATCCAGACAGAGTACTTCCTCTCAGGCGGAGCGATGATCTTGATCTTCATGGTGCTGGGCGCCAGAGCGGTGATCTCCTTCTGCATGCGGTCGGCGATGCCCGGGTACATGGTGCTGCCGCCCGACAGCACAGTGTTGGCGTACAGGTCCTTACGGATGTCCACGTCGCACTTCATGATGCTGTTGTAGGTGGTCTCGTGGATGCCGCACGACTCCATGCCCAGGAAGGACGGCTGGAACAGCGCCTCGGGGCAGCGGAAGCGCTCGTTGCCGATGGTGATGACCTGACCGTCGGGCAGCTCGTAGCTCTTCTCCAGGCTGCTCGAGCTGGCCGCGGTGGCCATCTCCTGCTCGAAGTCGAGCGCCACGTAGCAGAGCTTCTCCTTGATGTCTCGCACGATTTCGCGCTCGGCGGTCGTGGTGAAGCTGTAGCCACGCTCGGTGAGGATCTTCATCAGGTAGTCGGTCAGGTCCCGGCCGGCCAGGTCCAGACGCAGGATGGCGTGAGGCAGAGCGTAACCTGAGAACGAACGAGAAAATCGTAAGCATCGCATTTGGGTGAGCAGTTCGGACATGGCACAGCAAGGCATTGATATAAAGGACAGCGGAGTGACTTGACGCTTCAGGACCTTGCGGCTTATTAGATAAGTTGATGATCGTTGTTCAAAAGCTGGGCGAAGTCTAAATGAACTCGTGTCGTGCTACTCACCCTCGTAGATGGGGACGGTGTGCGAGACGCCGTCGCCGGAGTCGAGCACGATGCCGGTGGTGCGGCCGGAGGCGTACAGCGACAGCACAGCCTGGATGGCCACGTACATGGCGGGCGTGTTGAACGTCTCGAACATGATCTGGGTCATCTTCTCGCGGTTGGCCTTGGGGTTGAGCGGCGCCTCGGTCAGCAGCACCGGGTGCTCCTCGGGGGCGACACGCAGCTCGTTGTAGAAGGTGTGATGCCAGATCTTCTCCATGTCGTCCCAGTTGGTGACGATGCCGTGCTCGATCGGGTACTTGAGGGTGAGGATACCACGCTTGGACTGGGCCTCGTCGCCGACGTACGAGTCCTTCTGTCCCATGCCGACCATGACGCCCTGGTGGCGGGGCCGGCCGACGATCGACGGGAAGACGGCACGCGGAGCGTCGTCTCCGGCGAAACCGGCCTTGCACATGCCGGAGCCATTGTCCACAACCAGAGCGGCAACCTCGTCGTCACACATGTTTGATGAGTTTTGTTTTTTATGTTACTGAAAACACAAAGGACGACCTTCGTTACTTCTCAGGTACGAACGAAGAGAGTAACTCACGAAAATAAAACACCACAGATCACAGACAAAGGACGTGCAGCTTTGACAAAAACTACGATTCAAAGAAAGCAACAACAAAAGTGACAGCTGACAGGCAGGCAGGCAGTTTTGGAAAACAATTCGAATTCACGCGCCTTCGCGTGTATTATATTTACGCTACTCCCGAATAAAATTCTCGCTTGAAATTCATTAGCGCCACAAGAAGCAAAATTCGTAGATCTTGCATTTCGGAATCTTTTTTTTTCATTAGACAACTGCAATATGATATGAACATCTTTATAAACGATAAATCGTAATGCCTTTCAATTCTTTTCAAATACAGTCGATAGATGGCACCAGTAGTTAACGCCTGAAGTTATACTGTTCCGCAGTGACTGGCTGCTTAAATCGGAAGATCTATCAGGTGAAAAATACGCGTTTCTTATCAATAAGCCTACTACGAATTCATCGTACAGCAAAATACCTAACATCCTTTTAATTCCCGTAATGGACACCGCGCCGACTAGGACCCATTCCGTTCCAATTAAGCCCCAGCCACCCGTCGAAAATAAATCAATTTCGGTCGGCGCACCACGTGGCGGGCAATGACACGAAACGGAACCGGTTCCCGGCCACTTTCCCGGTCCAGCTGGTAGGAATTCACACACGGCGAAAGTCGCGCCTCGCCCCGATAGGAGGCCAAGGAGGCGACACACCTGACCGCTTTCTGGCGGTGACCGGGCTGCGGCGGTGTGGGAGATTCGATCGTGATGTTCAAGATTGCAAAGGAAAAACTGTTAGTCAGCTGAAGACAAAAGGATCCACTCCGCTTTCCTAAACCCCGTTTTTTGCGATTGTGTGTAATAATTATTAATTCATTACTCTTTACCTTAAAGTCAGGAATCCAGATTTTTACAGACGCTACCAAAGGATGTAAGAGCTGAGAACCAGGTGAGAATCCAAGTGCTCGGGTCAAAGCTCCCCTCCCCTCCCCCCCACTCCTCCCTCCCTGCCGGTACGTCGGCAGTCAGCTGACCCGGGTCGTTAGCCGTGCCCCACTCCTGTCCCCCAGCCCATCAGTCACGTGGTCGCCGGGGGCGGTCACGTGCCCGAGGCAGTGGGGCGGGGCACTCCGTCCCAGAGCTCAGTATGTCGCGGCTATATATGGAGATCGATCGAGCGACCAGAATCGCTGGGATCTCAGGCCGAGATCTGTCGGCCGTGCCACGGCGCTGAAGACTACAGCGGCTCTGAAAATAGAGCGATAGCGAAATAAGCTGGAGGTTTGAAATAAGCCACGAACACAGAAAGCTATTTAGGACTTTCATTGGTTTCAGAATGGGAAAGATCCGTGCTGCTCAAGCAACCGCAGAAATAACGGTATTTATATACATAAGGTCCGATCTACAAGGTGATTATAAAAACCACACCACTCGATGTATTTTGAGCTCCTGATTCCATATCTGATAGTTATTCATGGCGCAACCAAGTTTTAAAACAACTGCGCAATATTTACCGTCGCCGCCGGCCACCATCCCACCACACCCGCCGTCACGCACTCCACCAGCCGTTTGCGCCACGTGAGATGGATCGAATGAATAAACTCCAAGGTTGAGTGAAAACATTACGCTATTCAATCTCATTATGAAAGTGACGTCATGAAAATGATCGTGGCGAAGCGGTGCAGTGCCGAAGGCAATGCCTTAGGAGAGATTACAGGCAATGGTAAGTCAAATATTTTTAGGTTAAGTGGTTGTGTATCTGGCCTCAGGCCGAAGGCCTGAGGCCTGATGCACAACCACTTAACCTAAAAATATTTGACTTACCATTGCTTGCAATCTATTCATGCGAGCAACTGTTTCCTTATCCCCGGGTAGGCAAAAATCAGTAGGTCAGGTTAGGTCAGGTTAGATTAGGTTCTGACAATTTTTGTCGTGTTTTTTTCCTATCCTACCCAACAAAACTCCAATTTTTTAAACATTTTTTTCGTGTTTTGTTATTTTGACGTCACTTTCATCAAACAATTTGAATAGAGAAGTAATGCTTTTTACATTTAAATTGCTTTTTGATTATTTTTTTAATTTTTTATGTTCAAATAATATAATTATGATATCTTTTCTATCAAATATGCCTAGTAGCTATGACCTTACGTAAGCTTCTTTCCATTCGTATCTGCAATCTAGAGCAGAAACTTCCGTTTCCGTTTGAGCAAACTGGTTTGAACCAGTTTTAGCGGGTGCTTTCCAGTGCTTTCCGCTTTCCCGCCAGTCTGTTAGTTGGATCATGGCTTCCGTGCCGGGTGGTTCGTTGTGCTCCGGGTGCAAGTGGGAGGAATACGAACTAGTTTCAGTTGCGTACCTACCGCAACGAGGAACGCGTCCAGCGTATTTTTCGAAACCACGGTGAACTAGATTAGAGGTAAGTAAATTTTATCTCTCCGATCCACTTTCAAGCATAAATTTTGCATATTCTTACGTTATTTGACATCCTGAATGTAGATAAGATGCTTACATGCGACGTAAAACAGTTCTACCATATTAAAAATATTTGCTACCGTATTTGGGGAAATGTTGGGAACCGGGGTTTTTGGGTCGGGGAGGGAATACAATGCCGTAAGAATGGTCATGAAAGTTGGGGAAAACTGTTGGGAACCGGGGTTTCTCTCCATACCCATAAACCCCGATTCCCCCTCCCCCACCCAAAAACCCCGGTTCCCAACAGTTTCCCCCAACTTTCATAACCATTCTTACGGCATTGTATTTCCTCCCCCACCCAAAAACCCCGGTTCCCAACATTTCCCCAAATATGGTAGCAAATATTTTTAATATGGTAGCACTGTTTTCCGCCGCATGTAAGCATCATATCTACATTCAGGATGACAAATAACGTAGGAATATGCAAAATTTATGCTTGAAGTATGGATCGGACTTTATGTAAATATTTACCGAAATAACTGAATCCGGTTTGCATTTAATAATAGAATACAGGCATGTCCATTTTACGGGCCATTTTGCAAATTAACCAATACATTGATGACTCAGAAGAGCAGCTCGTATGAAAAGAAATTCAATTCGTGGATCGAAAACTGGGACAAAGAGCGAGGAAAGAATGCAAATAACTCTGAGAAAGCTATCATACTACGTTTGATCTCGTTGCTGCCATGCGATGAACATTGAACAATGAACATCGCCCAAAATATATGTCAACCTAAAGGTTATTTCATAACGTTAGTGCCTCGCACTTACGTCTACAGAAACTTGGAATGTGTCCGGTAGGTAAACGGGGCACAACTGTAAGCGAAGCAATTTTAGCGGCAACTATGTAACTGCAAAACCCCTCATGCCACGCCCTGTAAGTACTCTGCCGGCACCGTCCGTCGGTTACCAGCAATGCCGCCCTTGCCACCGCCCAACAGAGCCAGGTGGGTCTTCAGCACTAGTCTGCGCTTATAACCATGCAAGCCATTCTCACCCATCTCCATTTAAATGGCCAGGATTGCATACTGCCTGGATCTCAACAGAGAGCCCTATCGCCCAAGCCAACGCCCCTAGCAACCATCCGACCATCCATCCTCAGCACCAACCACCAATCGACCCACCCATGACCTAGCCCTCCCTCACCAATATTCCCCAGCACGAACCAGCCCCCACCATCACCAAATCCTCCTCAAAACCCTTCCCACCCAGGCCAACGCCCCTCAGCACCCCCGGCACTCGACTCACCGACCCGTCCCGGCGCCGGTCACCAGCAGAGTGGCCGCCGGTTCCGCCGGTTCCCGCCGGCGGGAGCGGCACGGTGGCGCGCCAGTGGCGAATGTGGCGCCCTCGCGGCCAGCGCGCCACGCAGCCCCGCCCTGTCGAGTGTGGATCGCCGGCTGGGATAGGATTTGGGCTACCCTGACTCTGGGTCTGGGTTGGGTGGTTCGCGGGCCGGTTAGACGGGCAGACAGGTCGGCAGGAATGGGAGATAACACGGAACTTTGGCCGCCAGGTGTCACTGTAGGCGTTCCTGCTGATTCAATTTGCGCCGGTGCCGTTCGGAGCCGTGCCGTGCGGTGAAAGTGGGTGAAATATTGAGGAAGTAGTGAGTCACATGTGGCATAAAACCTAAATTTGGAAGAAAATGGCTCAGTGTTGTGTCTATGGCTGCTCAGAGAATGGTGGGTTTGTATTTTCTCGCGACAAGAGGCCGAGGAAGATATGGCTCAGGCTGCAACGGATTTCATCCCACCAAACACTTGGTTGTGTGTCGGAAACATTTCACCGACGATGATTTTTTGGAATATACTGCCTACGGTAAGTTTTTATGGTCATGCGCAGCTTTGTATCTAAGATATACCCTATCATTCCCCACCCGGGGAACTGGGAAGTCACCTACCGGCTACCACCATAGGTAAGTATCAAACGAAAAACGGGTCTGCTTTTCATGGAATATTCATGTCCTAAATACTACAGAGGTCAACAATCATTTAATCTTAGAATTATACAACTACCTGTATTTGTACCAGCTATTGCATGCTTCACATACATCTCACATCAACATCATAGGTGAGGTAGGGTAAGGTGCCTAATTAGCGACCCTTTCCGATTTGCGACCTACCTCCCTACAGAAAAACTGGCAGGAGAAAACGGGGTAAAAATGTCGTCAAGAGGTCAGCCATACTTTGGTTATCAAATTAAATTATTTTCCGGTCGTCGATGTTTCTGGTGGGACGTTTCAGGTGAGTTTAAATAAAAATGACGAGTTTCTTATCCAAAACGTGTGTGTTTGGGCCCTCTCTGATGAAAAGCGATGCACATTAGGATGATGCACCTTTTTATTCTGAATCGACATTTCTTTTTCAATTGATTGCCGTTTTCCCATAGTGAATCGCTCAACTGTGCACAGCATGGCGGTTAAAAATGTGTCGCAACTCATATTTCCTATTTGCGCCTGACATGGTCGCAAATAGCTCAAGAAGGGAAAGAAAGGGGAAAAGAGAGAAATGAAAACGAGGTGTTGCTGAACCTTGCAATGTGTGGCAGGGGATGCCAAATGTCGTCACCGACTGCAGGGGTGCCGAATTCAGCGCGGACCTCGAATATCATACGAGATAGCCCGCAAAATTTGGGTTTCCGCCTTCTTTTCGCCTTCGGTGCATCACGTGATCAGTTTTTACTTACGTAAATGTGTTGGATAAACGTTCCTGTTCGAGTGATTGACTGCTTTGCGTATAGGTTACCTTTCTGAGATCATATTTCATCTTTTCAGGCGTCGCATTTTTTGCCATTTTTAATATGGGGAAATCCATAGACTTATTAGCGACCCTCCCCGGTCGCTAATCGGGAAGAGTTCCCTATTAGCGTTTTTTGCAATGGTTTGCCAAAATGCTCACTACAAATAGGTTAGTGAATATTGGGGCAGAAAATGACCATATTTTAATAGAAAAATGAACGATCTCTCCGAAAATCAAGCCAGTAATACAGTAGCACCCACAGAGCGTGAGCAATGACGGTTCAAATTAAGGGGGTCGCTAATTAGGCACCTTACCCTACGTATACTTCATGATCCATCAAAGTTTAAGGCAAGAAAACACACTTCACAGTGCTATAAACAATGACACGCATTGTCAAGGGCCAGACAACAGCAGAAGAGGCTGAAGAAGGGGGTTATTCCATCTGTTACTCAGGGCAAAGCACCAGCTTCAACTGCTTCAGCAATTCGTAGGCAGGCTAGGCGCAAGGAAATGGAACATGGCCAGCTGTTGGACAGCTTGGTCAGTGCAAACAACTACAGAGCTTAGATGCTGTCCTTTACCTGCAGGTAAGATGAATAGGTTTGTGCCTTGTGACACTATATATCTATAACTGTTTATCGTTATTGACATTTGAGGAATGGACAGACACTGTCAGATCCAGACAGGATAGGAGATTCTCTGTTTTGTGATTTGGATGGCAGATGTAAGGGGATCACTTCTCAAAGTTTGTTTTTTGAAAGGTTTTTTTTTATCCCACAACTCACAGACAAGTCACAAAAGTATACTTAACTGGGCATATTGTATGTTCAATCTTAAGTGTTTTCATCTTTTGGCAGATGTTAATTGCTCAGAACCAACCAGTGGTAATAAAAGATGTGCATAAAGTTTCTGATAATGGTCTATCTCATGCCTTGTCAGTCTGTATACAGTATGTATGAGGCAGTTAATACAAATTTTATTGTTTTCACAGGTACAAGGACGGGCTCAACAGGCAGAGGAAATGGAGAAGAGTGCTCCACCTCCACCTGACGTTGCTGCTTATGAGGAGTGCGACACTGAAGGGGGGTGTGCTGCACCACTGCGGGGCTATTTGATGGTGCTGTCAATATCAGCACCAAGGTTCAATGTCTAAGATCTGTTAGCCTGTCGTGATGTACGTGTCATAACACCAGCGTTCCTTAAAGGGAAGTCCCAGCTCTCTCCCGCTGAATGCACTCAGTCGCTCGCTATCACGAGGGATCATATCCATGTCGGGCGTACCTATGACTGGTCTGATCAAGACTTACTCGTTTCTTAGGGGGCAAATCGATGCCAGTTACGTACCTGTTCTTTCAGACATATTCCGTTCTGTGTGTCTCGTCTGTAGCCTGCAGAAATCGCTCATGCAGGTGGCGGGGATGTGCGCGCTCTGGGACGTTAGCATAAGCAGACTGAGCTTCACCGTCTCATGTTTATTGTACATGCCTACATTTGTGAATGGTGCATTGGAGGGCTACATGTGTATGCTCGTGCACAGTGCATTGCTTGAAAGCTGTATGTTATTTGGTAATCGGTGGTATTGAATGCTTTTGAGTTTTGGAGCTTGCCTTGTCGAAGTGGTTTAACTAGTACTCTGCTATGTGTCGATGTCAGTTCAATACACCGCTGTTGACTATCATACACTGCTTCAACAGCCATGTGTTGTATTCGCCATCGCGCAGTGACGCTCATAAGTCATAAGTTCATTGGCATGAATAGAAACGAACGAGTACTGTCCGCAGCTGGTTACAGGATACGGGCATGATCTAAAGGAACTCGTACAGGGTGTAACGAAATTATCCGCCCATCTATTTTTCGCCATATCTGTTCGCATAGTTTCTTTTCTGACGTTAGAAGCGAGAATATTGGATGAATGCGTGCCTCTGGTATCGGCTCTCGCCTCGGCAGTGACCTGACCTTGCGATGTGACTCTTGCTCTGAGTAAGAGTCGAGTTACGGAAGGGTTCATTTGATAGTTTTCTATCAAATGATTGAAAGCTTTGGTTTCATTTGATGGCATGGCGGCATGAGCCTGAAGCTGGTCTGCCAGCAGCTGGACATCAGCAGCAGCCAGTTGCACCTCAGCATGATGCGCGATAATTGCTGGGACTTGGGTAACGGACGCAGCCCGGGCCGTGTTCCACGGAGCGCTGCCTTGATTTCACTTGTCACACACTACCCCTATATTTCCAACAGCATGGTAGTGTGCAACAAGTATGAAACCAAAAGCGCCAACAGCGTTGCCAGCGCTCCGTGATACCCGGCCCCGGCCGTGACAGCAAATGGATCGGCAGTAACGCCCTTGCTGCCACCTGGTGGCCATTATTGAAAGCTTTGCTCTGTGCTCTCCCATTCGGGGTAGAATAGTTAGCCCGGGCTGGACGAGTCTGTTGACTGGAACGAATTAGAACGGTCGGTAGCCGATGTGTTTTGACTGGATATTCACAGCAGGTCCTACTGGATTAAATGGAGCTGGCAAGTGGCTGTATCCGTTTTTTTAAAGTCCTATCTTAATCATTGGTTTCGGAAAGCATTATTGCAATAATTATGAAGAAAAATCGTATTGTTTGTGCCTACAGGGTTTCGACCTCAAAAGCTGAGGGATTCAGTTACGCAATCAGCAAAAAGACACTTCGGAATTTCCTTTTGCGTACTAGAGGAAGAGAGGAAGTAGATTTTTCCTGTGGAAATCCACCGTCTAATTACGACAGAGCTATGTCGTCGAGCGGACTGGGTTGACCGGGCGCCACTGCTCTGTTATCAACTGTGTCTGCAAAGTGTGCAATTGCAACACCCTCCAGTGGGCCGGAACTCTCCCCTCCCTCCTCTACCCTCCTCACATCCTCCCCTGCTCTACCCTCACATCCTCCGGACTCCAGAGCAGAGTCCAGAGCATCCTGTCGACTATCTGCCCGATGGCGATGGTCGCTCGCGCATCCCAGACCGCCGACACCAGACGAAGGGAGGGCACGGTCAGAAGTGCGTTGAACCGCTACAATATTGCGAAATGCTCCTCCCGGGCGTCCGGTTGGGAGAGTACGCTGCGCACTGTGCAACCATTAACGCCAGCCACTGCGAGTGCGCTTCTCTCAGACGCAGTTCGAGAGGGTGCTGCGGGGCTTCAGAGGCTGGCTTTGGTCGCGGGAATGACCGAGTTAACTTTGATTCAAAGTCTTTGCATCTCGCTTTTGTTCATTTTTAAATAAATGAAGAACATCTACAAAAGATAATCTTAAATGCTGTGCGAAAGCAGTTTTATAGAGCACTTTGACTCAGAACACCAGCTCCCTTCACGCTAAGGAAAAATATTGCACGACACCTCTCTAAACGGTAGCCATCTTTCCCTGGCGCGTGGTGCTCACTGCTCATCGTAACCAGATCAATGAGTAGTACGTAAAACGTGCGTGACCTATAATCATTAACCGTTCAATTTCCTCGTCACGCTTGGCAAATGTGTCGCGACTCTAGTTACCACCAGTTTGTCAGTTACGCGGACATTCAACCCAGCTCCAACTCAGTCCCCTATAGACCCAGCCCCTCCCCTCCAGTTCTCGTCTCCACGACACGTGGCTGCAGTGTAGATCGATGGCTCCGAGGGCGGCGCCCTGGCCACTTTGCCGGGGTGAGCCGCGTCGTCACGCGCCAGTCTGAGGTCATTGACGGGTCACACTGGCGGCGGAGACCCGTCGCCGGTCGCCCCGGTTGGCTGCGG